CGATAATATTGAGTTGGGCACCCCAAAAATAAACTATCTAGCACACAATTTCAAGTCGCCGATTGGTATGCTTTGTCCCCATCTTTCTGTAACTTGAGCTGACTTGTTTTTTTGGAGACATCACGTACACAAGCCAGATGTATCGAGGTAGATGGATGAAGTTCAGTTATTCGTGTTTTCTCACATCTCGAACAGAAGTATGACTGGCAAACAAAGAGACCTTGACTTACATAATTTACAGTATTTTCAAGATAGATAAGCCTTCTTCGAAGTTTGCACACGTCATCCAGCCAACAAAACCTGAATCCTCAGAATGATCGGATCAGGCAAGTAGGAGGGGTCAATTCGGGCACAGATTAATCAATCCGTTCATTGTCTCTTCATCTTTCAATCGATATCGCACTCACTGTTTTAATTATTTCATCGTTGCTTGAACATATCAAGTCAATTGTAGTTGGCTTTGAGTCTCGCTTCTCTCTCTCGGGAGGAGATCTGGCCCTCAAGACCATCAGGACTCAAGCAACACATTTCTTTCCTGAAACACGCTCGAACTTTCACTCACTCTCAGATTCCAAATTGACTTAACACACAGCCTAAGACAACGATAATTCTCTCTTCTCTTTTGTCTTGCTGCCGCGTGTTGAACATATGCTCTGCCGGAAGTAGCCGATTTTGAGTATGCAAGTAAGAATATCTCTTCGGACGGCGGAAGGTATGATCTTCAAGTTGTTGGATACAAGTGTAAGCATACTGCTTACTACGGACGAACGACGATGGAAGAACCCATAAGGCAAAGAGGGATAGACATTGAGATATAGATCGGAGGGAAGAATAGAAGGAGGAAGATCGAGAAGGAGGGAAACCTTAAATGGACGAAGGTATATATATCTTGGTCGGGAGCTGTATCAACTTAGTGCCTTTTTGATTCCGAATTGAAACTTGTCTCGTTCTGTCTCCGTTATGACTCAGTGAAGAGGGACCAGACATAGTCTCCTTACAACAAGCGCGCGGTTACATATTATGAATCGATGTGCACATCATAGTGGAAATCAACTTTGGTACACATAGCAAGATGGTCGACTATAATGTAGTCGTCGATATTAGGCTATTGTACGATGGGTATTTATCTGTGGTATATCACGAAAAAAGTAGAATTAGCAAAAAAGTAGGGTAATAAATTACTCCATAAGATCGAGAAAGAGGTGAAAACTCGTAGGAAATATGTAGTGATAATCAAGTTTGTTGTATGATAATTCAACACGATGGCATAGAGTTGGATGGTTGATGGTCGATGGCGTAGTATGTTGATCGGCCAATGAAATTAGAGATATAAAAATGAATCCATTCTCTGAGAAGAAGAATTAGGTTCCGTTTTCAGCGACTAGGCGATACGTACTGCGGGTATTTGGCTTGAGAGCTAGGTCCGCCATATGTGAGGTTCATGATTCATGTACAACTATATTTCCGGAGTCAATGCTTACCTGTGGACATGCTTCTTCTCTTTTATCGTGTTTTGCTCTATGCCGACTGAAACACGATACAATTTCATGGACTGACAGCTAGGACCGTCATATATAAACATTTATGCAACTGTATGGAAAGAATGAATGTATACCTTTTTATCGCGTTCCGCTTCCACATTGCGCACACTACGTAATCATCAATCAACAGTGTTGAAAATCATGAGACAATTAGTGCTAAGCTCACCTAACAACGCGCATCATTTCCTTCAGAGTAGGTTGGGGGTTGTTCCCTACGTCATAGAGAGTCAATCCATGCGTGCCAGGAATATACAGCAAAACACATGAGGCTCACTCAGCAAGTCAATCAATAACTAAATGATATTTTTGCTGAGTCTACCTTTCCAGACATTAATCGAAGAGAAAGAGACTTACTGAAGTCATAGAACGGATATTAGGGGACTCTAGAACCTCTTGAGAGTCTTTGCACGCGGACAGACATATCTTACGGTATTCGCGAGCTTAAACTTGATCCACGATCAATATTTGTGGGACTCACTATGTTATTCCTAACGCCTTTAACACGACAACACTTGTCCCGGTACCCATTACAACGTTCGTCAGTGGCATGCGCTGTTCTTTTCAATGACTCGGGCGTGATTGATCCGACACACTGCAGGTCTCCGATTGAGGAAAACATCTCGAAGACTCAATAAAAGATGGATAAGTTTTGCAACTATATCAAAAGCGGACTGAAACATACCACGTCGGAGCGGTCGCCGGACTGGGGCAAGAGATCAAACCTCAATTACCATAGAGGAACGACGGAATCTTTTACTCACCACGGCTCGTCCACTTGTGCACTCGGTTGCATCGATGATGTGGTAAATCTACCACCATTGGCACCCAATCTAGTGATGGAATAGTGACTCACCAAGCAAAGTGTTTGAGTGACAAGTGTCAAGTATTGCCTTGTCGACGCCGTTAGTACTCCCGCTGATATATTAAAGCCAAAAACGGCTTACAGTCAAGCGACTCGCAGAATTTAAAGGCTGCACGAGGGAATCCTTGAGATCCTGAGAGTCGGCGATTGAGAACGAAGCAGGGAAAAGGATTCCGGGAACATACATCATCTACAATACCATCTTCTCTATTGAAGAGACATGAGTTTCGAGAAGCAATCTCTGGAAGATCTTTTTCTTGGTTTGCAGCTTCTTCGAGCTTCCTCAAGGTCTCCGGGTTATCGACGCTTGGTAGAAGGACTGTTCGCCAGGTTGCCTAAGACGAATGTTGCGTAGAGTATAATGAATTGGCACATACATTCGTCCTTCTTGTCCTCCTCACCAGGATCATTCGTAGGAAGCTGATACGAATGGCCAGCGACTGTTGTGCCACATATCATTCAACGGAGGAACGAAATGAGTGAAGAGATGGGCACACAGTAAAAGAGGTATTGATCTCCAGGCTGTTGGGCCTCATAGAAAATTTCAAGGTATCTCAACTGGCGTTTCATCGAAGAAAAATTAGTGATGCTATAGAATATACGTAGGGACCTGATACACACAATATTCTCCTTCGAGGAAAAATGCGTAGGTGGTGTCCCTTCTTTATCAGTTAGGACAGTAATCAATTCGGGCTTATAATGGTACTGGGCTACAATCAATGTATCAGCGTATCTGATAAATCACCGAGGGAAGGATTGACTGATGAGTAGACGTTTCAACTGTCCCACTTCTCGTTGTGGGCCATTCAAACGGTATCTTTTGGGGAAGTTGACATAGTTTATCGCAATGAGGAGCGCTCGTTTGGTAGGCTGTTGAGAAGGCGCTTGTCGCCAGATCTGCCCAGGATACAGGTCCCGAATATCTTGCAGAACTGCGGCAAGCTACAAGGGGAGAAGGTCACAAGCTTCCCGGACGAGACGCATGGATTTCTCACTGGTGAGAGGAATCTTCTACACTTAGGTGCTGTCCACATACTTAGGCTTCAACAAACAAAGAGGGGTGGGCTTAAGGATCCAGAATGACACACTATATACGATAAGTAGATGTACAGCCTGAGCAATTGCTCATGGGTACAGCATCGACCACGGGGGTGACATGACCCACCTTTTTATTTGCATAGCTTCCAAACGATCATTCCTAGCGCAGCCTCGTCAGGTCGACGACGAACGTTTGATATTTGAATAGTCTATTGCATAGCGTCTGAAGCTAGGTGGATGGGCGCATGATTGAACCGTTGCTTCCCCTTCAATCGCGGATCGTGTGGTGATACAGAGGACCTATGGGACGACGGGAGCAAAGACATCAATCAAAACGCCAAACAATTGATGAAAAAAGCCAGTGTTCACAGTGAGTAAACACGTACCTGTAAACATCCCCATCCCCGGTTGTAGTTCCCGAGTTCAGGAGGGGGATGATGAGGCATTTTTGTGACTCTTTTCCTATTTACTTCTCGCATCGCGATCAAATTTCTATCGTCGATATCCAGGAAAGAACCAGAAGCTAATCAGGCTCCAAATGATGATTCTCACTAAACAACGATCCGCGTTGCATCCCCCGACCAAACAGATGAAGGGGACCCAAAATCACTGGAAAAACCTTTGAATTTTTTCAGAAAGCAAATCATACTCAGCGCACGTGCGATACAGTTACGTACATTGAACATAATCTTAATAATAATTAACGGACCGCTCGCCAGTCACTGAACATCTAGCGATGTATATTGTGTAGGTAAGTGAGTGGCTCGTGCCTGTCAAGGGAAAGAGACAGGAAGTATATGTGAAAGGAGAAGATGGAGAACAGGGTAAGCAGACCATAGAGGGACAAGGACGAACAAAGAGGAGCGAACGGCCGCAAAAATCACTCATTGTAATGGCAACCCCTCGCCGACGTTACACGGAGAATGTCCAGCCACGTGAGGCATATCTCCCACTCCCAGTCAATCTTTGTGGGAAAGAACCTAGATATCGTAACCACATGAGTGTTGGTCATCGCCAGTGAACCCCGCTCGCTTAAACGACGATTCACGCGCTGTCACAGTACGCTGGGGGCGATGCGCCAGCGGGGGAGAAGTGACTAAAAGTATGGATGATAGCCGGTCGGGGTGGTTAATAAGAGAATGGGTATACGGTGCGGCATGGAACGTTTCAACACCTTATCTATCCTTGATCTGATCCACCCCTCGTATCGCGATTCGCTTCTCGTTCCCCACCCTGTCTGAATTCTGTGATTTCCCTCCCAATTTTCGTGCACGTGTCGGAGCTGGGTGCGGTGATGGAATGGGAAGCTTGGAGCGCCTCAAGTGCTATACGATGTGGTGCGGATGGACGGCCTTGATGTATGTACGTAAATCGTAGCTGTCAAAGGAGACGCAGAATTCTCGTCGTATGGTGCAGAATGTATTTGGAGACTTGGCGCGGGCACAGAAACCTCACCGCAGCGGCCCGATCGCGAGTCAGTCGTTACGGCCTCGAGAGACAGAAACGGACGGGAAGAAAGAAACAAAAACAGAACAAGGCACACATGCTGGCCCGAGAATTGATGAGAGGGAGTCCCGACCCCAAAGAGACCAGATATACCCATTAAAACCTTAGTCTGGCGCCTTAGACCGCTCGGCCATCTTACCATGTCATCGGGGAGGCTGGTACACATGCAGCTCGAAATGGGGCCTTTGCGAGGGCGGGGAGGGTAGTGTAAATTATTTCCTCCGAGGTTTGTAAAAAGAACAAGTTCCTGCGTGCGAAAAGGGCGTACGTGGTGGGTTGGTACGATGTGCATCTCGTATCGAACAGGGCACTGGAAGGAAAAAACGGGAAGTATGATGAGACAGAGATTTGTAATTCCAACCTTCGAAGAGACCAGATGGATATGACCGTGAAGTTTGAACATTAGTCTGGCGCCTCGAGATCGCTCGGCCATAGGTTACAAGCTCGTAATCTCAATGTAAATCAATGTCCCGAGGTATTTGAAGAAACACAAGGTTCCCGTGCACAGTCGATGTACTCGGTTTAACACGTATCTTGTCGAGGTGGGTTGGTCTGGCGTGGGCGTTTATCGAGAAGCGAAGCGGAACTTGGAGTCAAAGACTCAAATACCTATCACCCTAGTCTGGTGCCTTGTACGAATAGCGGTGGAATGTCGATCGGAGCCTTTGCAAGGGGACCTCAGTGTAAATCATTGTTTTTTCCAGCTAGAAGAAAGTATCTCCTGCGTGCGCAGAAGGTATTCGCGAGCACCCACCGGAGGGGAAAAGTAAGTAAAAATCAAAGGAGACAATTAAAGAAGTCACGTGATGAGAGGGAGATTCGAACTCCCGCCCCCGAAGAGACCAGATATAAAGATTGAAACCTTAGTCTGGCGCCTTAGACCGCTCGGCCATCTCACCATGTTCGCGGGGAGGCTGATGCACACACGGTCCGAATTTGTGTCTTTGCGAGGGCGGGGAGGTGTGAATGTTGCAGCTGAGCAGTGCACAGATACAGAGTAATTGAACTGAGGACAAATTGGAGTAGCCTTAGCTAGAGTCTTTTGGTTTCAGTAGTTGGTAAGAATAAAGAACAGAAGACGTGGTCACGTGCCGTATCCTATTGGGCCTACGTGTAGCCCTCAGGATATCGTAACAGTAAATCATTTCTACGAGGTTTGTAAAAAGAACAAGTTCCTGCGTGCGCAGAGGGCGTGCGTGGTGGGTTGGTACGATGTGAAATCTCGTATCGAGCAGGGCACTGGAAGGAAAAAAAGGGAAGTATGATGATGAGAGGGAGATTTGAAACTCTCACCTGCGAAGAGACCAGGAGGGATCAGACCGTGAAATTTGAACCTTAGTATGGCGCCTTGAGATCGCTGGGCCATGGATTTCAAGTTCGTAGAAATATCAGTGTAAATCAATGTCCCAACACAAGGTTCCCGCGCACAGTCTTTGTACTCGGTTGAACATGTGTCGTCTGGCGTGGGCGTTTATCGAGAAGCGATGAACTTGGAGTCAAAGACTTAAATAGAGACCACTCTAGTCTGGTGCCCAAGCTTTGCGAGGGGACCTCAATGCAAATCATGGTGTGCCAACTAGAAATACGTGCTCAGGTGTTCGTGAGCATGGATGGACCGGAGGGGAAGTAAAAATAAAACAAAGCCATGAAAGAATTGACTATGATGAGAGGGAGATTCGAACTCCCGCCCCCGAAGAGACCAGATATAGGACACTACGTACTGCTTGTACCGGACCTTAGTCTGGCGCCTTGGACCGCTCGGCCATCTCACCATGGTCACGAGGAGCGGGT